TTATCGCATACAAAATCCTGCTCGTGTTTTGATGGAGTTCAGTTTAAAGTCAAGGTTTTTATTAGAAAACTTCATTAATACAGTGGCTGCGTTCAAGATGTGTGCTTTACATGTTTCTAGGGATCTGTGAAAACAAACATTAGGCTGGATTGGAATGTCTGCGGCTTGCATGTGTTATCTGCCTAATCTAGAAATCCAACAGGTGAATATACGCTTGAGTTGTACGTTGATGTCTGTTACTAATATTTCTAGTTCACACCATTCAACTATGAATCTGATAAAAAATTTGAATATACTACCATTTATGGAAATGTGAGGTTCCCGATTTGTTGGTGATCATGAAATGTGAACAATACAGCACCACCATTTTATCATCCACTCATTTTGGCGTGTCCGTATGACTGTCTAATACAGAGCTGCCCTTTGTTTGTCACAAAAAGGAGGTTTCTTCTCCAGTCGAACATTTGTTGCTTTTGTGCACAGGCTTTGTTAACTCATTTTCATCTCAACCTCGCTGGTTGTTGCACGGTCAAAATGTTAAGTGTTCTGTTGTGGATTTGCAACAAAGGTGTCTGAGTTGGACCTTCTGAAAGTGCTTCGGTGTACTGGTTTTTGCTTTAATTTAAACTCCAGTTTGGATCCTGTTTCCTCTAGATCATTACCTTCATTGGTGACTGTTTATAATTTGGGTTGCATACATTTGCTTGATCTGGGGAAGGATCTCTGTAGCACGGGAGTACCATTTGAGCCGGACAGCTACTGTCTGTCTGCTGTTTGAGTCCATAACCAACAACACGCTGCTGTAAACGAGGAACTAAACCTGCAGGAGAAGGTGTTGTGTGTTTGAGGAGTTAGTCTCAGTATTAACTTCAGTACCTGGCCTAATTGCAGCAGAGGATTGAGCCTCTTACCTCTGTAGTTCGGTCCACTCTAAAGTTCACATTAAACCCTGATTAACTTAACGCTGCTAGTCTGGACCAGTCTGTCTACAGTAGGTAGCCAGACAGAGATTAGTGCTGTGTTATTGGTCGGTTCTGGCCCTGTTCATGAAGCGTGTGATCTGTAGTCATGATCACTACTAGCAGGCTGCTTCTGCCTGTCTGATCTACGTGTATATTTATAGATTACAGGTGCTAATCTCTTTTAGATCATGATCTGATTGAGAGGGATCAACTCAGCTCAATAAAAGCAGCTTGGATAGCTAATGTTTCTGACGTTAGATCAGCTGCTACTCAGTGTCAGTGTAGGTGGAGCCACTAAAACAATAGCTGCCAGACTGTCAAGTGGAGTTTGTGTCTCTCTAAATGACAACCCAAAACATGTTGTCCAAAATAATCACACGGTTGCTTTTTTTTGTTCTCACTTTTAGCCTTAGAATAAGTAATAAATGCAGTGATATGGAGCAAGTGTCCCCTACATCCCCCAACCCACTGTTTGTATAGTGTACAATATGTTTATAGTTCTGTTGTGCATTCAGTTATTAATAATCATCCAGATAATGAAGAAACAGGTGAATATTTTTATATTTATTGTACATTTGTAACCAAAAAGAGCCGGATATTTATTTGCATTGATTCAATTCAACATGTATAGTACCACTTATTGTGCTTCATTAAGTGCTTTGTTCTGGATGTAATCTTATAAAATGAATCCACAGTAGATCGTCTTTGCGTGCATATTATGTGTCTTCCTTTGCAGACCTAGTTTATGCTACGAATGACTGAGGGGAGGGAATGGGAGTCACTGTGCCACATTTGTTATGTTATTGTAAAGAAAAAAAACTAAACCCAAAGTAGATCTCTACCTCTACATTGTGGAGAGCATATTGGCCATATGCTGTGTTGCATGCTGTGTAATTTCCCCCAGCTTTTCTATTTTTATTTTTAAGTTCAGCTCTGGAGTTGAACGGTGCAGCACTTTGTATACGTCATTAAATGTTACAAATTACATTTTGTAGGTTCTTTGTGTTTTTTTTTTTTGTTAAACTTGATTTTACACTATGGTAGCTTATAGTATAAACACATCCATCCAAAATTTGACAAGACATTTAATTATTAAAGTTTTATTCAGACAGCAGTGACATTTGGTAATAAAATGCACATAGGCGTGTTAAAAGAAACATCCTGAGATACCTTCAGTGTACAAAAGCAGCTCCAACTAGATCACTAGAAACTGGAAAATATTTGAGGTGCATTTGTTACCTCAAAGTACAAAAAATAAAGCACAAACGTATTGAAATGCATAGTTCTCCCTCAATCCTGCCACAAAGATGAGAAAAAAAGAAAAAGCAGCTTCACAGATAATAGCAAGGAAACAGTAAAGCAGTCCCTTTGTTCTGTGGCAGAAAACATCCACTGTTAGATTTGTGGAAGTGGCTGTTAATGTAGCATCCAGATTTGCTTATTGGAAACCAGCTACTCGTGTAAAAACCTCATTCTAAGCAGATGTGATTTAAGTGACAGGCCTTGCATTGATGCATAAGAACCAATGAATGCTTTGGACTTCTGCAAATCAAACAGCGCAACGCTGATGATGAAAATTTAGCTTAACGAATGAAAAAGTGCAACATGTTTCACACAAAGAGTGTTCAGCGGACTACTTGGCAGGGGCGAACCCCACACGATCGGCGTTCCTGTCGAACACAGTGTAGTACTTCCCAATGAATACATCTCCCAGGATCCACAGGGGCCCTGCGGGTGGTGGGATATCCATGGCCATGAAGCCCGACAGACAGATGGACGTACCCATCTGAGACTCCTGCGAAAACAAACGTTTTTTCAGTTTTGCCAGGATCATTTAAAGATATAGTCACACTTTGATCTAAATGCGTTTTAAGACTCTACTCATGCCCATATGCACACTGAGTGAGTTATTGGTCCACTAATTGTTCCCCCTGTCGTAATTGGCTGTGAGGAGATCCCTACACATAATCCACAGTCCCCTCCATGTGTGAGGAATTCTGAACTAAATTGACTAACTCTGGAAGACAATTTGCTGAAATCTTACTTCAGGTGAACTTTAGAATTAATTTGCAGAGAAAAAGCACACAATTTTGT